CATTTGGCCCTCTTTTGCTCTCTTACTGGCTTCCTGTATGTTTTTTTTTTTCTTTTTGGTGGGGGTGGGGGATTTTAGTGTTACTTGGCTTTGATTCCTTTCTCTATTTCTTTTGTGTAACTTTTACATATATTTTAACCAAAGGACTTACATAAAATACCTTACAGTTGTAATAGTTTATTTTAAGCTGATAATTTAACTTGCCTTGCATGCAAGAATTCTTTTATTTCTTTTATCTCCTCTCCCCCTACATTATATGCTTTTAATGTCACAATTTACAATTATGTAAATTATGTATTGATTAACGTAATTTAGTGTTGTTAATACTTTTGCCTTTAAACATTTATAGTAAGATTACAATTGATTTATTCACCACTGTTATAGTAATAAAATAATTCCTTTTTGCCATATAATTTACTTTTGCAGAGAGCTCTATATTTTCTTATGCTCTCCCATCGTTTTTTAGTGTCCTTTAAATTCAACATGAAGAACTCCTTTTAGCATTTCTTGTAAGGCAAGTCAAATGGTGAAAAAACCCCACAGTTTTTTTTAGTCTTACCACTCCTTGATTTTTGAGGAACAGATATTCTGGATATAGTATTCTTGTTTGGCAGTGTTTTTCTTTCATATTTTGGATATTTTATTCCACTTGCTCTTGGCATCCAAGATGTCTGCTGAAAAATCTGCTGACATGGAGATTGTCATGTACGTAATAAGAATGTATTCTCACTGCTTTCACAATTCTATATCTTTAACTTCTGACCTTTACATTATAATGTTTATCAGTGTGACTCTCTTGGAATTTGTTTTATTTAGTGTCTTTTCAGTTTGCTTCCTGGATATGGATTTCTATTTCCTTCAAAAAGTGTGGGAAGTTTTCAGCCATTATTTCTTTGAACAAGATTCCTCTCTCTCTTTCTTAACTCCAATAATAAGCAATTGTTCCAATTGATGTGTCTTATAAGTTGTTCTTCCTTTTCCTGCTTCATCCTCAAATTTGGTGATTTCATTGCATTTGCTGAGTCTTTTTTTTTTTTTCTTCATTTAATCTGCTGTTAAACCCCTCTATTGAATTTTTCAGTTTGGTTATTTTATTATTCGGCTTTCTGATTTCTATTTAATACTTTTAAATATTTTCTATCTCTTTGTTAAAATTCTCACTTTGTTCATGCATAATTCTCCTGACCTCAGTGAACACCTTTATGATCATCTTTTTAATCCTCTATCAGGTAAATCCCATATATGCATTTCTCTAGTGTCAGTTTCTGGAGATTTATATTAATGTTATTCTATTATTTGGAGAAATGTCCTTGTTTCATCATTTCCTTGACTCTCTGTGTTGGTCTGTGTGCTACATAATACAATCACCTCTCTCCATCTTGTCAAACTGGCCTCATATAGGAGATACATTTCATCAATCAACCTAACCAGAGACTTTTGCCTTTCAAATTTTTGTTCTTTCCCAAACTGCTGTCTTTATTCTTAGTGGCCCCCAAGAGCTTAGTCCTGTCAGTGTCTCAAGAGAGGCAAAATTGAAGTTAGTCGTTTGACATGCAACTGAAAAAGTTGTGGTGTTAAATGTGTGTTCTAATTCTTTCTATCCTCAGGGAGATGCTGAGAGCTATAGTTTATCTCTCAGTCACTCTGTACTAATCCAGGGAGAAACTCTGTTGCAAATGCCTGCACTCTCACTCAGTAGCCACTGGAGGTACACCTATTTAAAAACCATCAGTTTGTTCTCTGTGGTCTAGGGAGACTTGGGAATGCAGAATGCCATCAACTCTTAGAGCTAGGTGATTTAGGAGCCAGTACCTAAGTTTGGAGCTATAAAAGTTGGGGTACTCAAAACTCCTTCCAGGAAAAATCTGCAAGCCTGGATTTATCACTGAAGTTAGCCAGGGAGAAAAAATGCAGGGAGGTAATCACACTCTGATTCAGGTCTGTGGAGGTCTATTGTTTATCTGCCTTGTCAACTTTCAGACGCAGGCAAGTTAGAAGCCCAATCATCGAGTAGCATCTGGATAAGTGTGCAAACAAAGTCCTTCCATAGAGAAACTGGGAGCTGGGCATGTTAGCCTGTTCTCTCCACAATGATCTCAGAGGCTATAGCTGCTGAAAGTAATCACATGCCTATCAAAACCACTTCCTTGTTCTCTGTAGTCTAAGGAAACTGGAAAATGCTGAATTCTTTCTCTTTCAGAGCTAGATGATTTTATAGCCAAACTCTCTGGGGAGAATTCTATTACTTGGGACACTATAAGTGTGGTCCAGAGCCTTGAAACCTCAGAGAGAAGCTGGGAATCAGGATTGTTTCCCAATTTTAAGGCACAATGCTCAGTGTGGGCTTTGTGTTCAAGTGTATCTCAGCTTGTCCCACTCATTTTGATGTGTATATTGTCACAGTTGTCCAGTGTGTAGGAGTCTCTCAACTAGTTTCTGGCTTTCTCTCAGAGGGCATTAATCTGTGTATAGATGTTTATTTAATATATGCATGGGAAGAGGCAAAATCACTCATATTGTACCATCTTGCTGATGTCGCCAAGAACTCAGTTTTTGTTTTTTTTCCTCCTGAGTTTCTTTTCAAATGGTGAAGCCATCAATCTCCTTTCTGCCCTACTCTTAGACCTAACTTTTGAGGGTCACAAATCTTGGTTTCTCATATCATTCATCAATAAAAAGAATAAGTGTTTCTTGGAGAAATTGCTAAGTCTAAGACTTGGGCAAGCAATATACAAAATTACCCTGGAGCATATTATTATGACAAAAAGTAAGAATGTGCTAAAATAATGATGATTATAATAATAATAAATGCACAATGATGGTGGTATGTCAAAGAGAAATAGAAGGGAACTAAAAGAGTTATATAAATTGCCAAAGGTGGAATAATTTGAGCAACAAAATTAAATACTATTGAATTATTCTCTAAAGTATAAAATAAATATTGAGTCCATGCTGATTATAAATAAATGACTGAATAAATTAATAAATATTTGAGAAGAAACAAATCTCCCATGCAAAAGAATTCCAAATAATTTGAGTAGATAATCTACCTTCAAGGAGGTAGAACAGGATTCTCTGTTCCTTAAATGAGACTTACATATAGAGATTTCCTTCCAGACAGTACAGTATGGAAAAAACAACTTTACAGAGGAGAAACCTAAAAAACTCTACTTCAGCCAGGTGATCAAAGTCAACATCAATAGTCACAAATCATGTTGATAGTATCCATCCTTGACATGGTATGAGGCAAATGGCTGTATCTCTGTGCTCTTCATTTCATTTCCAAAACATGGAAATGAAGCTTACTCATGAGCAAAACATCAGACAATTTCCAATTTAGGTATAATCTACAAAGCATGTGATCAGTACTTCTCAATACTTTCAAGGTCATTCAAAAATAAAGTATGAAAAACATGACAACTAGATGTAATGTGGTATCCTGGACTGGATCCTGAAACAAACAAACTAAAAGAATAGAATAAATGGGAAACCTGGTAAAATCTGAATTAATTATACAGTTGAACCAATAATAATTTATCAGTATCTGTTTCTTATTTTTAACAAATATATCATCAATATATAAACATACATGTATAAATATATAAATGCATAATTAATAAATATACTATATAATATATATATTTAAGCCACAAGTATTAATATTTGAATAATAGCTACTTTGACCCCAAAACCACTTTTTTGAATACTTTACACATAGTTTCAGTGTGTTAGGACTACATTTTATCTGTACTATTTTAAATTAGCACTGTCTAAAAGGACTTTCTGTGATGATGAAAATGTTTGATATCGGTGCTGGTTAATATAGAAGCCACTAATTACGTATCACTTTTGAGCACTTGAAATATGACTAAAGAAACTGAAGAGCTGATTTAATTTAATTTAAATTTACTAGTCACATATAGCTGTTGGCTACTGTATTAAACAACATCATTTTAGATAATTAATCAGATGGCATGCTCCCTCAAAGCAAGGAATTATCATCATAATTATTTTAATATTTTTAATAAAGCTGTTGAATATGCTATATTAAGCAAATAATTAGTATGGCTATGAAATAAATATAGCATCACTTTAACATCTATAAAGAGAAAGGAACAATTATAGTTGTTGGCAAGTCTGTATTTGAAATCCAGGTGTTTGTTAACCTATAGATAGGTTACAGTCTTCTTTCTCCAGTACTAAGCATTGATGTTTCCAATGTTTCCTCTCTTCTCTGCTTCTGGGTGAGGCATGTTACTTTGAACTGGGTTATCTTATATTCTCTGTCTTCTTGAGACACAACCTGATGTGGCCTGATGAAATGGGACACGCTTGTCACTTTTTGTTAAAAGTGAGAATAAATGGACAAATATCCATGTAACTAGAATGTTTTCTCATTACTGGTTCCTGGCAGGTATTAGCTTAACAGCATAGCCCTACATGAAAAAAAGCATCAGCATTTAAAAAGCAGCTGATACCTCAACCAAAACAGTTAAAGCATTAGATTTAAAAGAAAGATACCTCCTGTGTTCTCAGGATTTTGTTTTCTTGCATTTCCATAGACTGTGGTTGAAGTGTTGAATAATAATTACTTCTAAAGCAAATGATCAAAATATATATGTGGTTTGGGATGAGAAATAGGTAGCAGGAACAGATGAACTAAATACCAGTATTCGTTTCTTTGTGGAAAGCATATTTAGTAAAAAGGGAGAGAAATAGTGCAGACAGTGCATGATATACGACTAGAAATTTTCCTTATTGGAATGCTTTTCTGACTTGTCCAGGAGGCATTATACCTTAAGCCATGTTCTTAGTGATGCAGAAAATTTCTACTTATAATGTCATATGAATTCCACCTTCCACTATTATGAAAATGAGGAGTAACAGAAAGATACTCCATTTTCTTTCTGTTGCTCTCAAAATTATTAAGTTAATAATATGAAAAAGTACTTATCTAAATGGCTATCTTTTTAAAAGTCCATGCAAAGCAAAAAATAGCCCAATACAATTTGATTTGATTTATACATGGTTGACAAAAGATAACGTATGGTTAAAAGAATGTAGTTTAGCAAGTAAGGGTAAAACTAGAAATCATTTCAAGGAAGCAGAATATTCAAGATTTACCTTTAACTGTCACAGATAAAAAGGATTAATTAATGAAGTCTGCACTCAATAGATAAAGGGCTCCATTGGTACTTTGTTAATTTTCTTGAAAGAGAAAGATAGTCCAGGTTGAATTTTCTCTTTAGCTTGAAATGGATTCTAGTTCTTCTTTCCTAATGTCAGGAGAAAAGGAAAGCAGAGAATTAAAGCTAAAATTTAATCATAAATATTAAATCAGTAGCATCCTTTAAAAATTTGCCTAACTATGTAATATGTATAAAGTCATGAATCTCATGTATTTCACAAGAAATCATCTAGAATTTATTTATTTTTAAATCTAGGATTCAGAAATCTGTCATATTTCATATGATTTATAATACTGTAGAATATTTACATTACATAGTACAAAGTTAATCAAATTAGATTGCATACAATTGATGATCGAATATGATCTCTAATATTTATTCATTATTAATTTTGAGTAGAAACAATGAAAATCTGGCATTTATTTTAAATACTTTCTTAACATTGTGTCAAATAATATTGATGATACCTATGAAGTAGGTAGAACATACATAAAATTGTTATATTCATAAATGAATATAACATATAACTTTGGAAGTGGAAGTAGTCTTACAGATGTTAAATGTCAAAACCCATAATAATCAATTTTTCAATTAGCAAACTGGAATTAAGAAAATATATAAGAAAATTATTAAGTTAAGAAATGTACAAGTAAATTATTACTATTATAAAAGTAATTTTTATAGGGTGTATTATTGTTGCTAATTTTGTGTCTCTTTCCCAGTAGAAAGACTGTATATGCCTATTCCTTGCCATATGATTTTCTATGCTTCCCTGAGGGAGAAATATATTACTTTCCCAGATCACTAACTTCATGCTTGTCTATCTGAATTCCTCTAGACATATATGTATGTTATATCAAATCAGAAACTTCAAGCATCATCACATGGATATGACACTGTGCTCTTCCTTTTCCCAGGAGATAAGTTTTGTTCCTTCAGCCTGGATCCAGAATATAGAAGACATATGTAACAAAGCAGACCACACTTGATATGAAATGTAAGTAAGAAAATAAAACTTTAATATTGTAATTCTCTAAGACTTGGGAGTTGTTTGTCATTCAGCATAAGTTAACCACTGTCAGCTAATACAGTGGCAAATCATGGAGCTCAGATTCAAATTTAAGTTCCATCTAGCTTTAAAGTCCATATACAATGTTCTACATGACTCTATCTCTCAAGATGTAATATATATAAACCTATGAGTGAAAGATATAATTCAAAATTAAGTGGAAATGTCCAAGGTAATGCCTTAGGGAATCTCCATCTGAGGAGTTCACAACATATAAGGAAATATTAAAAAGACTAATAAAATAAAAAATTTAATGGTAATATAGTCAGTACAGAATGGAACTTTTGTAAGAAGAATATAATCTACATATAAAATATTTAAGAAAAATGAAAAGGATGAGGACTAAGAGTAAGAAGAGGTTTCTGGCTTTAGAAATCTGGAGATCATTCATCATCTTCCTCAAAGCTTGCTTGGTATATTTGAAGATTAAGATTTAAAGTTAAGGCAAGGGTTCTTAACCTGAGTACAAGAACATTTTAGCATGGATTCATGAATTTTTATGAATATTAATCATCAAATGTATTGATTTTCTATTTCTATTGCAATGAATTGCTACTAATGTAGCAGTTTACAACAACACAAATTTATTTGTCAGTTTCTAATAGTCAGAAATCTGATACAGGTATAACCAGACTAAAACACAGTTGTCAATGGAAGGTTTTTTTGCTTATTGGGGCTCTAGTGAAAAAGCCACATCCAAGCTCATTTAGGCTATTGGCCAAATTTCCTTACAGTTCCTTACAGTTGTATTGATGGGGACCTCATTTCCTTGCTAGTTGCCAGTCAGGGGCTGTCTTTAGCTCCTAGAGAGTCTCTCTAGTCATACATGGTTCCCTACATCTTCAGAACCATCAAGGCATATCAAAGCCTTCTCACTCCTGGAATCTCTATTGACTTTCCCTCCTTTTAAATCTATTTTCCCTTATTCTTCTGCCCCATCTCTCTGACTGACTCTTCTGATTTCCTCTTCTGTTTTAACAGCTCATGTAATTACATTAGGCTCACTCCAATAATCTGAGAAAAAGCCCTTAGTTTACTTAAGGTCACCTGACTAGTAATCATACTTCCATCTGCAGAGTCTCTACATAGTAGTATGTAGGTTAGTGTTTGACTGAATAAACAGACATGATACTTGGGTGAGAGTGGCATCTATAGAATTCAGTCTATCACACCAAAGACACTTGATAAAAATATTAATTCTCAAGGCTAGAATAATACACTGATCTACATTTTAACAAGCCCTATACAAAATTATTTTCAGAATAAAACTTGAAAGCAGCTTTTATATAGGGTCAATGGTGAGTGCATTATATCTAATAACCTAAAATTTTATTTTAAAATGTAGTAAGCATTTTCATTTCTCTAGGGTTAATTTACCCAAATTTTTAAAACCTAGTAAAGCTCTGTGACCCAGAATATTTAATTTAAGGAATTAAATTTAAGGTAGTATATATGAAAAGAATGCAAGAGAATAGCCTACTCTTGACATTTTGATAGTAAAAGAAATGTGTATAGTGGTAGTTTGAGGGGAAAAAAACACTGGGTTGAGGTTGAATTTTTTTAGAATATATGGGAATTGAGCATGTGAGAAGGAAAAGAATGTAAGATGGCAGCATTCAAAGGCAGAATGGGGACAACCAAAGTCGCAAATTGCCTGCAACAACTGGATAAAGAGGAGAGTTGGAAGATTTAATCTTATAATAGAAAAAAGGAATATTTTTTTTCTAGAGGAAAGAGAAAGAGGATAAGTGAAGATGCAGAAAAACTCTAAGATGAAATGGCTTCCATCTCTTCAATTAAGTAGGACTAATAACTCTTCCTCTTCTAAGATTTAGACAGCTTGAGCACTGTGAAATGAGTCCAGGAAAGAAGCAAACAGAAACAAAAAAAAAACCAGTAAGGATTAGCAAAAAATAGAAATTAAATAAATGGACACTCAATGCTGCCTATTAAAAATATATTAAATGAATTTTAAACAAAAATTATTTTTAATAATAAGATAAAGTTTAACCTTTATTTCAACATTTCTCTTCTGTAGTCACATAGTTTAAGTGACCAGAATATTTAAAATCAAGTCTATAAATTCTATTCCTGAATTAGCAATTGAGATCATATTTAATAGAATACCAACTGTGCTGAAGTGCAGGGACACCTGTATTTATACCCCAAATTTATTTTTAAGTTTGTTAAGTGACTTCAGACAAATCCTTTTATCTTATTCTGCTTCAGCTATCTCATTGGCTAAACAAGGATAATACTATTTGTTCCATATGACAAACAGGGTAACTTTGTGAAAAGAATAAACAAGAAAACTATAATGTATTTCTTGACATTGAAAGACAAATGATAAACTGCATCCTATAAATTTATTGGTAGCTGCGAGAAATGCCAGAAAATTTAATATTAATCAAACACCACAAATCTTCCTACCAACCAAACAGAAGCTTTGCTTTGAAATCTAGATAAAACTCTTTAAATTAAAAAAAAAATGCTCTATACCTGCACTTCCATTTCCAGCCATATGATAGATTAAAAAATGTAAATGTCTTTACTTCATTTATCAAAAATACTAGATGAAATATAAAAACACCCATCATCTCTAGTAAAATGGTTTTCAATTGGCTGCACTCAAAGAAACACTTTGAATTGTAAAAAAGTAAAAGGTTATAATTTGTTTCTCTAAAGAATAAAAGGATATAATTTAAATGCAAAAATAGAGAAAACCTACAAAGCTGACAAAAACAAAAACATAAAACTACAGACTTCTCATTAACTATCATTAGGTTTACTCATTCAATCAAGAAAATATCCATCAAAAAATATTAGAAACAGAAAAAAAATTAACTATCTAATTGTATTAATTTAATTTAAAATGAAGGAAAACATGTATGTAATCTTTAAAATTGGCCAAATTGGACCAAAAAATTATTATTTTAATTCATTATATGCACTTCCCATGTACTAAAAATTACAGACATCCTTTTGGTTTAGCTATTGCAAGTTTTTGTGTTTGTTTAGTTTCCTAAAATTGCATAATTCACATAATACTAATTTTTTATTAATTGAAAAGGTCTAAATTAAAAATATATTATTCAAAGATTAAATAACTGAATATATGCATATGATATTATATTATAGATATTTAGTTAAAATAATATTAAAAAATCAGATGTGTTTTGCAAAGATTTTCTCCCAGTTTTTTGTTGATTTTCTTAACTTTTAGTCAGTTTTACCACTTATATGTAAACTTACTTTTAATTAACAGATAATAATTATATATATTTATAGGGTATCATATGATGCTTTAATACATGTATACATTGTGGACTTGTTATATCAAGCTAATTAGCAAATCCACCACCTCATATACTTTTCATTTTTGGTAGAGAGAACATTTAAAATCTATCTTTAGCAATTTTGAAATATATAATACATTTTTATTAACTACAGTTAATGATGAATAATAGTAATCTTACTATGCAATGGATCTAGAAAACTTATTTCTCCTGTCTAACTGAAACTCTGTACACTTTGGTCAACATCTCTCTATTCCCCAACCCCCAGCCTCTGGTAACCATTGTTCTACTCTGTACTCCTGTAAATTCAACATTTTCTCAAGTCTATATAAAAGTGAGGTCATGCAGTTCTTGTCTTTCTGTGCCTGGCTTATTTCACTCAACATAATGTCCTCTAAGTACATCATATTGTCACTAATGAAAGAGTTTCCTTTTTTAAGCCTATTTATAAAAGCCAATCACAGGGACATCTAGATTTACTTCTATGTTACCTTCCAGTTTTATAGTTTTGTGTTCGCATTTAGGCCTATGATGCATTTTGAGTTGTTTTTCTGATTTTGTGTGTGTGTGTGTGTGTGTGTGTGTGTGTGTGTGTGTGAAAAGTGGAATCTCTGTATCTAGATACTTTTTTTTTCTGTATGTGGATGTTCAGTTGTTCTAGCACCATTTTTTAAAAAGACTATCCTATCTCTATTAATTTGCCATCCCTCCCTTTTCAAAGG